CCTCTCAGCTCTGTGCTCCCCTCCTTCCTATCCTTCTGTTCCGTGCTCCCCTCCTCTCTCCTCCCTCTCAGCTCCGTGCTCCCCTCCTCTCTCCTTCCTCTGTGCTCCCCTCCTTCCTATCCCTCAGCTCCGTGCTCCCCTCCTCTCTCCTTCCTCTGTGCTCCCCTCCTTCCTATCCCTCAGCTCCATGCTCCCCTCCTCTCTCCTCCCATAATTCTGCACTCCCCTCTCTTTTCCTCCAACTGCGTCTCCCCTCCCCTCCTCTCTGCTCCCTCTCAGCTCTGTGCTCCCCTCCTTCCTATCCCCTCAGCTCTGTGCTCCCCTCCTTCCTATCCCCTCAGCTCCGTGCTCCCCTCCCTCCTATCCCCTCAGTTCCGTGCTCCTCTCCTCTCTCCTCCCTCTCAGCTCTGTGCTCCCCTCCTTTTTCCTCTCCCATAGCTCCATGCTCCCTTCCCTCCCCTCCCCTGCTCTCACATACGCACAGGGACTGGACATACCACAAGTCCTGACACGTGCAGAATTATAAACATGTACAACCATCTCAAAATCATACACCAGAACCTTAAGAACAAATTATTTCTTCCAATCTATCAACAGATCTAAATTCTGAAAGGCCCATTCTCTTTCAGTAAATTCACTTACAGAGAAAAAATAAGGGCTTTCAAATTTTTTAATTTGTAGATTAATAAATCATTTAGAATTCTGCAATGTCCAATGTCTGCAATGGCAATTCAGTAAGCCTATTTGTAATTTTTTTAATTAGGATACGACCATGCAATGAGCCCTGCATATCTGTTCTCAGTGCCCGCCCTGGTTTCTGAAAAGCACACATGCATAGACCTCGCGCCCTCGGGCAAACGTGCTTCACCTGTAAGATGTCCTGGCTGATGCCCACTGTGATACTTAGTTGCTGCCCAGGCTGAGGGGATGGGTGCGACTCCACCGGCCCCGGCTCTGAGAGCTCTAGAAGCTGCTGGATGACATCAGTCACTGCCTGAGAATTCTGCTGACTTGGGGTTGACGTGACTTGAGCTTCTGTCTGCTGAAGAGGTAACGTCTGAAAGAGCGTGGCCTGAAAACAGCAATATTTTCATTAAAAATATAAGTTTGTTCTTCAATTAAAAAAATAAATAGGCAATACCTCTTTACAGCATTAAAATCTCAACATAAATTTTAAATATCATGAGTCACTGATTTTTATATTAGGTACAGTATCAGCTCTTAAAAGAGCACACTCATAGAATTGTTCAGCTACAAAAATTTTTTTTTATAAATGTTTTAAGTGGCTCGGCGCCTGTAGCTCAACCGGCTAAGGCTCCAGCCACATACACCTAAGGTGGCAGGTTCGAATCCAGC